GAAGAAGAAGAAGAAGAAGAAGAAGAAGAAGAAGAAGAAGAAGAAGAAGATCTCATGTACTCTGGCATCTGCTAGAAATAGAGTGGGCTGACAGATTTTGTGCAATGGAAATTTGGGGCTTAACTGTGGTCGTAAGTCGAGGACCACCTGTAAACCATTGCTCCAAGGAACTGGATCAAAGCAGCATAGAGAGGTTGCAATTTCTGGAGATCCCTTAATGTATTTTTTTAGGAGTTTCCATTCTGGAGGCATGCAGACAGAACAGTAATTTAATTTATCAGCCCTCAAAGAAATGCCATTAGAAATCCTTGAGCTTTACCCTGGTGACATCTTACCAGCGTGAGATCCAGAAACTGTAATGACAAGATTCTAACACTTCTATTAACACACCCAAGCACACAGACCCTCCTTCCATGATAATATACTGTATGTCAGTTTGGTCTGGCACCAGGCTAGAAAGCAGGAGATCATGAGTTCTAGTCCTGGTTTAGGCATGAAAGCCGGCTGAGTGACTTTGGGCCAATCACCAGGAGACTGTGAGTTATAGTTCCTCATTAGCCATGAAAGCCAACCGGGTGACTTTGGGCCAATCACCAGGAGACTGTGAGTTCTAGTTCCTCATTAGCCATGAAAGCCAACTAAATGACTTTGGGCCAATCACCAGGAGACTGGGAGTTCTAATCCAGCATTAGCCATGAAAGCCAACTGGGTGACTTTGGGCCAATCACCAGGAGACTGGGAGTTATAGTTCCTCATTAGCCATGAAAGCCAACTGGGTGGCTTTGGGCCAATCACCGGGAGACTGGGAGTTCTAATCCAGCATTAGCCATGAAAGCCAACTGGGTGACTTTGGGCCAGTCACTCTCTCTCAGCCCAACTAACCTCACAGGGTTGTTGTTGTGGGGAAAATAGGAGGAGGAAGAAGTGTTGGATATGTTTACCACCTTAGGTTGTTTGTAAAAATATAATGAAGGCAGGATACAAACAAACAAACAAACAAACAATACTGTGAAAGCATTCTTTTGCCCAGTTTGTCATGATTTAGCAGCCCGAGCCAGTGAATATTCTGGTTTTTTTTGTTTTGTTTTGAATCCTAATCCTTTGTCTAGAGGCAGAAAATAACTTTCTGAAGGAGCTCTTACAATTACACAAAACAAAGAATGGACAATTTTTAAAAATGAAACAAAACCTGACCATCCCTTTAGATACCTCGACTTCCTAAAAAAAAAGAAAGGAAGAAAAAAAATGTGCAAAATCGAGCCACTTCCATGGGGAGCAAAGTACCTGTGGCTGAAGCAGTAAATCCTAATTTCTTCCCAAACTTGCTCAAAGCCAATTGCTGTCACAAATTTAGTAGCGTCCCGTTGTGGGAGGATTTAGGCAGGAACAATTTAAAAGAGGGTCTCATAAAGCTTGAAAAAAATCCAGTCTGGTTCCAAGCTGGGAGAAAGATGCTGGAAATAAAATACGAGACTGGCTGATTGGAAAGGAGGATTCTGTTTATTTGGATGCCAGAAACTTCAGTGACAGCAGCATGTTTCTGAGGTGGCTGACCAAATGGTTGGGTGAATGGATGGATTTTTATAGAGTTCTGGGGTTTTGTGATTTGAGATGCTCCAGGGGGTTATGCAATGTAGTGAGCCTTGAGTCTTTTGGTATTCTAACGGTGGTGGGTAAATCCTATTGTGTCCTAAAGCTCATGTCCTGTCCTTGGAATTTGGATGGGGGAATGTATGTTCTTAACCCCATCAGCTCCAGCCTTCTGTGGGAGCTGTTGGCTGAAGGCATTTTGTTTATGAATAGATTGGCCTGGTCTTTCTTAATCGGTACAAAACATCCATCTCTAAAGACTTGAGACTTTTGCTTGAGGCTACAGCAGGAAAACTGGGGATTTCTTCTTTTGTTAAGATTTTTTTCCATTTGTCCTTTGGGGGAATATAATATTCTGCTTCTTTTAATATTTCCCAAAATATTTCAATCTTGGGGAGGTGAAGAGGGGGCTTCCCACAAGCTGATTCCAGACCCCCAGTTCTTCAAGAGACTTTCAGGAGTGGATTTTCAGAAGGCCAACTGAGTGGCGGGTACTGTAAGGTCAAGGGGCAGAATTATGGCGTAACAGAGGTGTAAAGAGACTTACTGGCTTGACAATCCTTTGGCATGAATTGTCCAAAAAGTCCTTTTTCAAAAAGGCAACTTGGCTTTTCTTTGCTTGTTTTTTTCCCCTTGAAGATGTTTTGTTTCTCATCCAAGAAGCTTTTTCGGTTCTGACTGA